TTTTGCAACTTTTCTAAAGCCTGAATTTATGCAAAAATGAAGTTAATTCTTTTTCACAAGCCTCCAGGAAAACAGAATGTTATTGCATTGAATTTAAAACAGTGTTTAAAACAGTAATGCCTCATCTTTTGATGGAGTCTTTAGTAGGTGCCAGGCATGTGCTAATTACTTTTCAAGGTTTATCTCATTGAATCCTCACAACAACCACATGAGAAAGATGCTATTATTGACCCCAATTATCAAATGAGCAAATCTTCTTTTCAGAGAGGGGAAGTGACTTGCCCAAGGTCACACAGCTAGTGTGTGATGGAACTGAGGTGGGCTCACCGAATCCAGAATAATAAAACATCTAACTAGCAGCACGCAGGGGCCACAGCACCAGGTGACAGGATTCTCACTGTTGAGAAGAGTAGGAACACTGTCGGCTGCAGATGGAACTCCACAAGCTCCTCCATACACGTCTTGGTTCTGCCTCTGCCCACACCATTGCTCCTCCTGGCATGCCCTGCTCACTGTCTCTACCTGTCCCTACCTCCCTCCTCTTCTGGGAAAGGCCATCTGTTCCCCCATGGCCCCTTCCCAAGCTCTGTACCTGGAGGACCCTGTCCTCCTCTGCAGTGCCACAGTCCTGCACCTGTGTCCCTTTCTCAGGGACTGTCGCACTCTCCAGCTACGATTCCTTCGGCCAAGACAGAAGAGCGTAGCTGCAGCTAGCTCCAGCTCAGGACTCAGGCAGGCCTGGATTCAAAACCTGGCTCTGCCACTAACTGGCCGTGTGATCTTGGACAAGTCACTTCGCTTCTCTGAGCAACTTATAAGTAAAACGGAGCTATTGTAACCCAGTATTATAAAGAGTTGGTCAGCATCTAATGCAACCTCTTGCAAGCAGCAAGTACTTAGTAAGTGTTGCTACTATTCTTATGTTCTTTCTCCATAATGACCGTTTTAAATTTTTTTCACATAGTTATAAGCATGTGTCAGAGTTTTATTCCAAGCTTGCCACAGAGCCAAGTCAACAGTTCCCTTTTGTTAAGGACATTTCACAGGAAAAGAGAATGGTTGGATAATCATTATGAAACTGAATACAAGACAAAGAATGTCTGATAATCAACCAAGTGTTAGGGTAGCTGATTTCCCCAAAGCGGTTTTAATCTTGTTAAAGATTATCAGAAAATTGGTTAAGCATTTATCAGGAATGCTAACGAGCTCCCAGAAGGAGGCTGCGAATTGCATCATGAAAGAGAGTTCTGTCGCAGAGTGTTGCATTGACAGTCATTGCAACACTCTTTTCTTAATCGTACCCATAATAATTACGGCTGACAGTTCCTCACTATGCACCCAGTTTGGAGCCTTGTCACAGGCTTAGCTTTGAAGCAGGCCCTGGATGCATTTTATCATTTCCCCTGACCCTGCCCCCACGCCCACTTAGCATGCTCGGTTCAGGGTAATAAGACTATGCAGGTCTTACCCTAAATGCTGCTGGGATAGGTGAATGAGGGTGGCCATCGTGTCCCAGGCCTTTGCACAATGTGGGACATATACCCTCTCTCGTCCTCCATATCACCAAAATGGAGTAAGTGGGTTTCTGAGAGTAAAAAGACCACCTGCTTATTTTTTTCCTAAAACATATTAAAATAATGCTATCAAAACTTAAAGCCTCTCTGGCCTGCAGCTGGGAAATCACTGGAGATTACTTTTCATAGCCCCTCACTCTCCCCACAAGCCCCTGGCAACCACCATTCTACTCTCTGCTTCTATGAGTTCAATTTCTTTTTAGATTCCACTCATAATTGAGACATGAATGCCTCTTTTATTATTATTATTATTTGTAGAGACAGAGTGTTGCAATATTGCCCAGGCTGGTTTCCAACTCCTGGTCTCAAGTGATCCTCCCACCTCAGCCTCCCAAGTAGCTGGGATTACAGGTGTGAGCCACTGTTCCCAGCTCCACAATCGCCTATTGATAGCCCTTAACTCTTTGGTAAATTCTGGGATATTTAGGAATCTTTGTTTTAGTGGATTCCTTTGGTGGAAACTGGTGAAGGAGCTGTGAGGGTTTATTATTATTTAATTTTTTTTTATAGTGGCAAGATACACATAACATAAAATGTATCATTTCAACCATTTTTAAGTGTACAGTTCAATGGCATTGAGTACATTCGCATTGCTGTGTAATAATCACTATCATTCACGGCTGGAGTGATCATCTCCTAATCCTGAACTGAAACTCTGTACCCATTAGACTCTAACTCCCCACTCCCCTCCTCTCGGCCCACTAGTCACCACTGCTCTCCTTTCTGTCTCTATGATGTTGACTACTCTAGACACCTGTTGACCCAAAATAAGTGGCTGAGGCAAAAGTCTCAATCAATTGAAGTTCAGTAAGCCAAAGTCGAGGATGTGCCCAGGGAAAACACAAACCCGACAAAGCTATGGCTGTTTTTCCAAAGGGGAATTGGGAAGTTTCAGCATTTAAAGGCACACAGAAAAAAAAGGCAGGATTGGGATACTGAGACAAATGGTTATATTCTTGCAAGATCCAGGAAACTTGACATTTCATATAAGATAAAGCAAATATTTCTTTTATAGTACCTCACATAAGTGGAACCATTCAATATTTGTCCTTGGTCATCTAGCTTATTTCATTTAATATAATGCCCTCAGAGTGCATTCATATAATAGCATGTATCAGAATTTCATTCCTTTATGGCTGAATAATATTCCACTACAGGTTGGGCCGGGTGCAGTGGCGCACACCTGTAATCCTAGCACTCTGGAATGCCGAGGTGGGAGGATTGCTTGAGCTTAAGAGTTCGAGAACAGCCTGAGCAAGAGCCAGACCCCGTTTCTACTAAAAATAGAAATAAATTAGCCAAAACAACTAAAAATAGAAAAAAATATATTCCACTACAGGGATATATCACATTGTTTATTCATTCATCCATCAATAGACATTTGAGTTGTTTCTACATTTTGGCTATACTAAATAATGCTGCTATGAACACTGGTGTACAAATATGTTTTGAGTCCTTACTTTCAATTCTTTTGGATATATATCCATAAGAAGGATTGCTGGATCAAACAGTAATTCCATGTTTAATTTTTTGAGGAACCAAGGAGCTGCATTTTATGTTTAGAATTGAGGCACCACTGGGTACAGAAGCAGCCATGAGAGATGTCCCAAAATTCAAGTTGATTAAGTGACAGTCTAACCCACCAAGAATTCTCAAAAGTCTTAGGGAGGGGATTCTGCTTCCGAAGACATTGGAACTGGAGACAGAAGGATTCAGGCTTTCTTCTTCTAAGTTTCCAAGATGGATTCTGGACAACAGCACACACCAGGCTTAGATGTTTTATGTATATCTATAATCAATTTACTTAAGCTTTGAAGTAACTTACAAAACTAATTAAACTACAATAAGCTGAAAATAAAGAAATCAAGGCTGATAGAAAATAAGGGTAGAAGAGGTGAGGAGAGGTTGGAAGAAAAGCTAGTACGTAGGTTACTAGAGGTAGATGCTGTGCTTCCCAGCGGCAAAGCAAAATGGCAAATGAAACTTAGGGAAAGACAAACGCCAGGTGATCTCACTTACACGTGGAATCCAAAAAAGTCAAACTCATAGAAGCAGAGACTAGAATGACGGTTACCAGGGGCTGGGGCTGGGGCAGGGGAGGTGGGGATTGGGGATGACAACCCAAAATAAATGACTGAGGCACAGATCTCAATTGATGGAGGTTTATTAAACTAAAATTGAGAACATGCCTGAGAAAAACACAAACCACTCTGCTCCAGCCCCAGCCAAGGCGGTTTCAATTACAAATGCAGAAATGAGGCAATGAACTCCACTCTTTCATCACAGCCCTTGGGACACATTTCCTCTGTCTGTGGTCCCCAACCCCCAGGCTGTAGATCATACTGCTCCCTGGTCTGTTAGGAAACGGCCCCACATCAGGGTCATGGCCTGAGCTCTGCACCACCTCCACCCCCCAGTCCTCGGAAAAACTGTTTTCCATGAAACCAGACCCTAGTGCCAAAAAGGCTGGGGACCGCTGCTCTATGTGTAGACCTCTCCCCCTGTACAATGAGGATAAAAGGATGAAAGAGATCGTGCATGTACATCCTTAGATCACCTCATCGTTGCAATTCAGTCTGGCCTTGAGGTCAGGCCTCATTTTCACCAATGGCAACTGCTCCATGGTCACCCTACTCCCACCTTTACTCAATAACCCATCAAGTTGACACCATTTTACATCCCAGACAGGCTAACCAACTCATCCTAGTTTGCCTGGGATCTCCATGACTTTAGCAATGAAAGTCCCACTTCCTAAGAAACCCCTAAACCTGAGGCAAACTGAGACAGTTGGTCACACAAGTGAACATTTACTTGTGAGCCAGGTCCTAGACCTCCAGGGCACTCCAGCCTTCCTTAATGCCACCAGACCTGTCTCACTCCAAAATCCGCTGACTATTCTACAATGTCCCTAATTCTCATGGATCCTAAATGTGAGCCAACTCCCAGCACTTATTCATCTCCTAATCCCAGTGTACACCTCAAGCATTATCCTACGTGTCAAGCCTCTAGCGTTTGTTAAAAACAAGAAAGGCTCAGAGTGAAAACAATATTGGGCCTCTGGCCTACTTCCTCCACTCCCAGCCTTGCAGGCTCATGGGTTGTCACTGATTTAAAGAGCAGGCAGGGCCAGGCACACATGTGTAACCCTAGCACTCTGGGAGGCCAAGGCAGGAGGATCGCTTGAGGTCAGGAGTTCGAGACCAGCCTGAGCAAGACCCACATCTCTACTAAAAATAGAAAAATTAGCTGGGTGTGGTAGTGCATACCTGTAGTCAGTCCCAGCTACTGGGGAGGCAGAGGCAGGAGGACCGCTTGAGCCCAGGAGTTGGAGGTTACTGCAAGCTAGGCTGATGCCACGGCACTCTAGCCCAGGCAACAGAGCAAGACTATGTCTAACAAACAAAAAAAAAAACCAAAGCACAAGAAGCAAGTCTGTAAGGTTTATTAAACGGCTGTTAACAGCTACAAATTCAAAACAAAAAGTCTTAGTTACTAAAAAATCATCGCAGGTGCAGGCAGGGGGACATGGGGCTGGCCTTCCCTGTTCACGGCCCTGTGGGAGACACTGCTGTCAAAGCTCAGAGCTAGCTGAGGTCTCCCATGTCCAGATGCCAATTCTTGTGCAGAGTGTACAGCTGTTCCATGATGCTCTGAGCAGGCAGCAGGGAGAGGCTCTGGTGACACTTCACGTGGCAACCTCAGACTCCATTCTCTGCCCCTCTGGTGTCCATGAACACCCCCAAGAGATTCTAGAAGAAAGGACAAGTGAGATCAGTGGTTCGAGAATCTGCATAAACAAAGACCAGCTTACCCTCTGGCTGTAGGCTCCCAGCCCTTGGCATTAACTCACCATGGTAAAAATTATCGGCAAACCCAGAGGGCTAGGTCATCCCAAGGGTCACTGACTCCAAGGCCTTGGGACTTCCTTGCATAGTCTCTGCATCTAAGGCTGAGACCTAAAAGGGGGAGGAAGCATCCAGGTATTTAGTTTCCAGCACTACCTTCTCCTCCCCAAGCTGACACCACCAAGGCAGTCCCAACCAACCAGGCTCCTACTTTATGCACACCAAATTAGAAACCCTAATAGAAACGGTACAAAAGGAAAAACGTCTTAAAAGTTAAGCTTTTCTTTTTTTGAGATAGAGTCTCCTTTTGTTGCCCAGCCTAGAGTGAGTGCCGTGGCGTCAGCCTAGCTTCACAGCAACCTCAAACTCCTGGGCTCAAGCAGTCCTGCTGCCCCAGCCTCCCAAAAAGCTGGGACTACAGGCATGCGCCACCATGCCCGGCTAATTTTTTTCTTTCTCCATTTATTCAAAATTACTGATGGCTCCTGGAGAAGCAACACACATGTCAAAATTTGGAAAGCAGCACCCATGATTTACGATTCTCACGTATGCCCTTTAGCGCAACCTGAACTCATGCCAGTGTGGAGTCCTCATAGAAATGCCCAGACTGGCTTTGGCAAGGGGATACAAATGTGGTCCAATCGCCGTATCACACGGGGCCTGCACAGGCCCAGGCACTGAAGGGCCGGCAGGAGAAAGGCTGGACTGTGGGAAAGCTCCAGGGCTGGGAAGGGACAGGGACAGCTGGACCCTCCAAACACGGGGAAACTTCTTTCTGCATTCCTCTCCCTGCACTATCAATGGCCAGGGTATGGGTGGCCTGTGATCACTATCGGGATGCAGGAGCAGACAAGGACAGAGGGAGAGCCAGGGAGGGCAGGAGGCTGGTGCCAGGAGCCTGGAGAATGGCTCGAGTTGGGGGGTGGGCAGCCCAACTGAGCACAGAGCTCCAGCAGCTGCCACTGTGTCCCACAAAGACCCCATAGGGAGTCAAAAAACCCTTCCAGCCTTAAAATGTTAACAAGGAAATGTTTTGAGGTTGAAAAGGGTAAGGACAAAACAAAACAAAAACCTACTATCAATCCAGGTTTGCTTATCAAATCAAGACGTGGAAGCTGAGAGCAGGTCACAGAGCTAGATAGGTTCAAAACTGGGACCAGAGTCCCAGTGCCTGAATCCACACGTCCCATCACAGCACACGGCTGACACGCCAGCACTCGGGGGAGGGAGATGCCCCAGGGAGCTCTCTTTACCCACGCAGTTTCTGAAGGCGTCACCTCTGCCCCTGCTGCAGCCCCCAAAGGCATGCACGGGACTCATGCTGCTTTCACCTTACGTCCCCTTACATCACCATCTAAGCCCCAGGAAATGTGCACTGCACAGGACTTTACAGGATACAAAGAAACAAGATCCCAGAGAACAGTCTAAAAATCTTACCCTGGGGCCCCATGGTCTAGCGCCCTGCTGTGAAAATGACACGTGCCACGGAGCCTCTGCACACAGCACGCCCATCTGCAGCAGACACACAGAGCGCCTGAAACAGGCCGGCAGAGTACAGGGGGCCGCAGACCATCTCTGACAGGAATGACACCCGTGCTATCCTATGTGCTAAATGTGATCAACTGGTTACGTATGAGTGTAAGTTAAAAGGATGCTGAGACCCAGCAATCCCTCTTCCAGACACGGACCCAAAGGAGATGAAATCAGCACCTGGGAAAGATGCCTGCACTTCCAGTCACTGCGGCACCATTCACAACAGCCAAGATGTGGACACAGCCTAAGCGTCCATCGCACACAACCGATGAAGAAAATGCGGGGTGTGTGCGCGCGAGTAGTGGAGTATCACTCAGCCTTGGAAAAGGAGAGCCTGGGCAGGGAGGGATACAAATTTACCTAGTAGGAGAAGAATAATAATAAAAAGGAGACCCCGCCATTTGCCACAACATGGCTGGACCTGGAGGGCACTGTGCTAAGTGACACGAGCCAGGCCCGGAAAGACAAGTACGGTGGAATGCTAGAGAATAAAAAACAGCGGCTACAGCGGGGCAGGAGAGGAAATGGGGAGATGGGGCAAAGGATACAAAGTAGCAGATACATAGGATGAACAAGTCTAATGCATCTACTGTACAGTTAATAAAACTGTATCAGGGATTTTTGTTAAATAAGTAGACTTTAGCTGCTCTTGGCACACACACTGAAAGCAGGAACTATGTGGGATGACAGATATGTTATTGTTTCACTATAGTAACCATTTTACTGTCTATATGTCACCCATTGTCCCATAACATATTGTAAACCTCAAATATTGATGCTAAAATTTACTTTAAAAAAGGAATGCTGAGCCTAGGGAGTTTTGGGGAGTGGCCCATGCCTGGCAGCAACTAGCACATACCTGGGACAGGTAACGGGTGGTGGGAGGGCCCCACACTGACCATCTAGCATTTAAGGGCTGCGTTCATATATCCAACTACATGGTGCCTTGCCCACTTTGATTAGTATTCTAGTCCCTGTCACCTTAATCTAAGGCAAGAGGGAAAATCTACCCCTGGTGGCCCATGGGCCCTTCCTGGCCAGGACTAAAGGTGGACTATCATAGCTGCTTGCTCAAGGGCACTTTTCACCCTGACACTGCTCAATGGGATGAGCCCTGCACTGTACAATGATATGTCTTCTTGGTTTTTTTTTGTCCAGGTGCTACACGTCAGGCACTAGGCATGACGTGAAACAAGACAGCGCACTGCCCTCAAGAAGCTCACAGCACAGGGGGCACGATGAGCAAACTAACAACTCACTCCCAGATGGTGGGATCGCCGCTGACGCAGGGCTGCGGATGTGGGCAGGGGCGAGATGGGGAGGCAGAAAAAGCTTCTGGGGGAGCCTTAGGAGGAAGGTGATCACTATTGTGGCTTCCAAACTAGCCCATGAACACAAACTCCCCAAGGCAGGGCCCTGCCTCACTATCCTTTCCTTAAGCCTCCTCGAAGCCCACACTGTGCTGGCAGAAGGGCCCTAGCTGCCGAGAAGACGTGTACGAAAGCTCCAGAGTTTGGCAGGGACAGGTAGAGACCCTCCAAACACGGGGAAACGCTTTCGGCAATTCCTCTCCCTGCACTATCAATGACCAGGGCACGGGCAGCCCACGATCACTTTCGAATGCAGGGGCAGACGAGGGCAGAGAAGGAGGCCGTGCCTGCGCCCTGGGGAATAATCAGACTTGTGGCCTAAGATTACAGGTGCTGCCTGATCCTCAGACATCACTTACTCCCCTTCTCAAAGAGCTAAAGGGAAGGCCAATGCTGGCAAAAACGCTGAGAATCCTTGTGCTCTGAAAGACTGGGTTCGAGTGGTAACAATGTTGATTATCTGACAACAGTATTTCCACTGAGGCTCAAAGACCACTCAGGGGGCCACTGATCTGGATCTAGGTTTGAGCCTAAGACGCAGCCCTCTGCCCCTTCCAGCACACTGCTGATTTCCCCTCAATACAACAGCAGCCTCTCTCAGTGACTCTCAGAGCCTGAACTAAGCTCTGGAAGCACCTTCTCTGCAGCAGCCTCACCAAGGCAAAAGAGGACCCAGGCCTGTCCCTGACAGCCAAGGGGACAAAGCCAGGAGCAAAGGGTAGCGGCCTTCATCTGTGTTCCCACTCACACTCCATGATACCTAAACCTCTGGCCCCGGAGCCTGCAGAGAACCTGAGCTCTAGAGAACCAGGCAGGATGCCACTTACCTGGGACCTCACAATCCATGCTCTCCCTGAGGACACCTCTCATGATGTACATGGAGCAGCATCATGTGACACTCCTATAGAGGACAAGAAGCCAGCAAGTAATGAATGCACTTGGCACTGAATAGGGTGTGTCCAGGGAACCCTGCATTCACCCACGGGAAAACACCTGGGGACTCAGCGTCTCAGGAGGTGGACGCACTGTCAGCTTTTCTAGCCCTTCCTGGTCACTGCTACCACCCGCTGAGGCTGTCCCGTGTGGAGTGGACAAGAATGGACCCTCTGCACATGAGGATAACCTTGCAACAACATCACCAATACCAAGACACAAGCAGCCTATAATCACCTTGAGCACAAGGGTAGAAAAGGACCCTGAGCTTGCTGGAACCAGAGGCCAGTGTCGGAAGCCCAGAAAACGGCCTGACCTGGGACAGCGGCACAGCAAAGCACAGGACCCAGCAGCTGCCACCTTGTCCGGCATGAACTTAACCTGCCCAGCTAGGAGAGGCCAAGAAGACCCTCCAGGTAAGAAAGTTGCAGAGTTCTTAGGGTGTGGAAGACAGGGGCTGTGTGAGCTAAGAATACTCACCTCACTGCATTTCTCTTTTCCAGATGAGGAAACCGAGGATCAGAGAAGGTCCCAAAGCTAGGAGGTGACAGTGAAGTGATTGAGACCTGGGTACAGGTGAATTTGATGCCAAAATCCCTCCTGCCTCCAATTCAGAAATTCTGCTGCTGACACACCCATGTAAAGGTCCCCAAAGACTCTACACTCCAGAAGGTACATAAAGAAAAATGAAATGCATTCCTGATGACCCCAAAGAGGGTAACACTGGAGGCCAGGACAAAGCCACCTCATTTCGTCTCTACCTCCTTCCCAGACTACATCATGCCCAGGGAACCTGCACGCACCCTCGTGGGACACAAAGCCCCGATCGCCAGAGGACAGAACTCACCCCAGGAGTACCATGGTCCAACTGCTTCCTGGCAGGACTGAGACACCTCTCACGGGTCCCTCTGCACCAAGATGCCTCCTCTGCAAAATAAGAAGCTCCAGATGAGCAATCTAGATATCACCTGATCAAACCACCCATCCCAGAAAGGACATGGAGAGTTCCTGGCACAGAAGCTACCAGGCGGTAAATGCTTCACACAAATTGGCTGTCATTACCTCAACATCAATCTATTGTGTCAGTAACACAAAAAGAAGAGTATGTCTAAAGAGGGAGCCATGCATAGTCTACGTCACAGATGGTTTCAGTTTCATCTTATGTATATATTGATTGATTTACACTGGTCCTGAAGTAGTACACTGAATGGGACTCTGAACCTGGGAGTGGGCCACACCGGCGTGGCAGAGTCTGGTATGGGCACAAGGACTATTATGGGCAGGAGAGGCTCTTCTGTCATCTGAGGGTCAGGGCCAATTAAATAGCATGCTTAATTATGTCAGCCATGCCTAGCTATACCTCTGCATTGGTCCCTGACACGAGGACAATCCATGGGGAAATAGCTCTCACCACCTCCTTGCTCAAAAGCATCTTCCTGACATGGCAGGATGTGCTGAGCCCCAACCCCTGACAACAGTGAGTCCTTTTATCCCCATCTCCTGTTTTTCATTTGTTCTGTAACTGCTGAACATCAACCACCCGCCAGGCATGGGGTAAATCAAGAGGCAAGACTCAGACACTGCCCTCAAGATCCCAGAAGACAGAGACAAAGAGACAAGCAAACCAACAATTGCCACAGGGTGTGACTAGTACCGAGAGGTGGGGGGATAAAAGGGTAACACCCCCGCCCAGGTTCCACCACCAACCCACTCCCTCCCTGAGGCAGGAACCCAGCCTCATGCACCTTGGTTGAAGCCTCACAGGCAAACACAGCTTTGCACAAGGAATACTCAATAAGCCAGACACCGGGAGGCATTAAAAGGTGGTAAGGAGGAAGTGTGGGAAAGCTCCAGAGTTTGGCAGGGACGGGAGCAGACCCTCCAAACACGGGGAAACGCTTTCGGCAATTCCTCTCCCTGCACTATCAATGACCAGGGCACGGGCAGCCCACGATCACTTTCGAATGCAGGGCCAAGAAAGGGCAGAAAGTAACCCACAAAGAGAAGCCCAAGATGTCGAGTTAGCTCCCACTAACCACGCAGGAAGGGGAGAGGGGCCCAGCCAAGCCCAGGACCCAAAGAGCTGTCACCACTTAATACAGCATAACAATCCCACCTGCCCCATCTACAGAGTGCACAGCAAGACCAACTTCTGGTAAAAAAACGCCTAAATTGTTCATTCACCCCACAAATTCTCAGTATCTACATGTAGCCAGGCAATGTGGGTTCAAAAACAAAAACAGTCAAGGTCTCTGCCCTAACATTTTGCAGCTTCCCTACTTTACAGGAAGTCAAACTCAGGGGAATGAAGTAACTTAGCCACGCAAACCCAGCCCCGCGTCTGCTACACGGCGCTTCCTCCTGCACCAGGGCCTTCCAGGCAGGCCTCAGAGGCGGGCTGAGCTCCAGGACCACCCCGTCTGCTGGGGCCAGCTGGAGGCAACCGGGAAGGCACCCCCCTCTTCCTTCACGGTGCTCATGAGCAGCAGCACATACCCGGGGACATCCTCCCACGCAGGACAGCCGGCGCCCAGCAGGGCGTGCAGATCAGGGTGCTGCAGGAGATGAGGGGGCGCTGGCTGCTGCAGAACCAGCAAAGCCGACCAGGGGAGCGTTTTCATCTGTCTCCAGGAGGGCCGCAGAGCCCAGAAGGCCTAGGCAGAGAAAAAGCACGGGGAAGGGGCTGTAGTACAAGGCCGGGGACAGGGGTCCACACTCTGCCTCTGGGGCCCTGGGATTTAAACCTCAGCCAAATGGTCCGTAGAACGAGGTTTTAGCACTTTTAAAGGTTACTGAGGATAAACGCGTTACCAATCATAAGGACTTGGCATGACCGACACTTTGTAGGCAACCAATAACAGACAGGCGGTTTGGGGGGTTCCGATGCCAGGAGTCGAGGTCAGGGCCAGGGCCGTGAAGGTCACGGGGGCTCTGGCGCCCCTCGGCCCCCCGGGTTCAGGGCCCCTGCCCGGGCCCAGCCTGTAGTCATGGCGGCACTAAGCCCTCCCCCAGCGGGGACAGGGGCTCACGCCAGCACGTGCCGGCTAAGCCGAGCGGCGGCCGAGGGCGCCGCTCACCCGCCAGTGTCTTTCCCGAGGTCACGCGAATCCCACGCGCCCACCCCGGTGCAGGGGACAGGGCACTGCACCAGGGGCCGGGCCAGACCTCCGGCCTGCTTCCCCAGCCTCCTAGGGTCCTCAGTTTCCCCTGAAGGGGGCAGAAGCGCAGACCACGCGCCCCGCAGTGGACTCACCCCGGCGCCCTGGCGTCGAGCGGCGGCGGAGACCCGGCAGACAGAGCGGGAAAACACGCGATGGCTGCAGATGCCGGGAGATGGGTCGGAACCGCGAGGCACCCCGACCCAGCCGCCACACCACCAGGAAGCTCCGCTCTTGCAGCGCGGGCGGAAGTACAGCCGAGGTCGCGGGCTGCGGCCTAGAGCGGCGCCTCCGCCGGCGGAAGCTGCGCCAGCGGCCCTGCAGCGCCCCCAGGCGGGGCGGAACTCAACCTCGGACGCTGGAGCGCCAGGGATACTGTCCAAATGCTATTAATAGAATTTTGAAAGTAAACTTCCCTCACTTGCTTTGTTTTTCCGTTTGTTCTGAAGGTGTTCCTTGGTCACTAATGTGATATTAATCTGCAGGAATGGTCAACCTTCCGCAACAGGAGCTGTTTCTAGGATGAGCTCGTGGATTGTGCTTAGCTTGGACTTCTTTGTGCAAGGGTCCGGTGGGCAGCTGGCTGTTTGATTCACCACAGTATTCATAGTTCTGGGCCTGGCACCGTTGAATGAATGAATGCATTCTACCTGTATTTTCTTTTTTTTGGACATTGTCAGACTGAGATCTCCGAGTCATGGCCCCCTACTGGAATGCGGGAGTGAGGTGGAGACGAGCCCAAGGTGTGCGCAGGAGATGAATGCTTACTTAAACTTGGTCCTGTGAGTACACGGGATTGGGGGGTGCAGAGGGTCCTTGAAGCAGCAGAGACCTGATCGGATTTGCCTCTGAGGAACTGATCAGAAGTGCTCAGTGCCAGAGACTACAGACAGATGTTCCGTGTTCCTGACAGGCTTGGGAGAGGGCTCATGACCCCAAATCCTCACAAGTACTGACACTGCCTGTGTCCTGGGCCAGTGTGCCTCTTGGACCTGAGGTGGCCCTGCCATGGGGCTGTGCCCACTCTCTAGTTTGGGTGGGGGGATTTTGTGTTTGTTTTTGAGACAGAGTCTTGCTCTACTGCGCCAGCTAGAGTGCCGTGGCATCATTGCTCACAGCAACCTCAAACTCTTGGGCTCAAGTGATCCTCCTGCCTCAGCCTCCTGAGCAGCTGTGTCTACAGGCACATGCCACCACACCTGGCTAAGTTTCTTTCTATTTTTTTTTTGTAGAGACGGGGTTTCGCTCTTGCTCGGGCTGGTCTTGAACTCCTGAGCACAAGTGATCCTCCCACCTTGGCCTCCCAGAGTGCTAGGATTATAGGCATGAGCCACCATGCCTAGCCATCAAACCTAGATTTTCTTTTTCACTCCTTGTTCCTATAACAAGGGCCCCTTAGCGGATTCATTCCTCCATTCCCAGGGCACCTGGGAGGGTGGTTGATGCTTGTTGACTGTTAGTGGAACAGGACATTACAATGGATGTTGCAGCCAACACACCAATGAGGCACCAAGGCAGAAGGATGAACCATATAAAATCACATCTCAAGAAACAAATGATAAAAATGAAATAAAATATAATTGCTGTTGTGGTAGGTAAAAAAATGATTAAATATTGGTGAATTGTGAAGGTTCCATCTGATAAAATGGCAGCTGCCTTCCAAAGAAGGTATTGGACCAGATATAGAATTATGGAAGGAAATAACCAAAAAACAATTGCTTGTGACTTTTGAATCCTTTCTTCCAATTGAAGGGTATTAATAGTGCAGAATTAGAATTTAAAGAGAGGAGGAATTATTAATTATATTGGGGAAAAGCAGGGCTCTGTGAGTCTCACTCTCTGCTCCTAAGAGGAAGAGATGGGGACAGAGCCCAGGCAGATCACCGCAACTCAGCAAAAGGAGCTTCAGCAGGTCATGAGAAACCTTGATATTTGTCACCTGAAGTTGAGGAGCACAGGTGACTGGCGCCTGACCCGCTCCTGAGTCAAAAGTTCCTAGTCTCTTTCTGCAGGTGTACAATCTATGGTTCAAATATTCGCCTGGTACCCAGAAGGTCCTGCCCAAGACGGAGCCTGCTGGGGTGAGAGGATCCCAAGAAGAGGATCTGTGCACATCAGCAGGGCACAGCTGAAGGGTGACAGAAGGGGAGTCTCCAAAGAACCCATGAAAGAGGCCATGCAAGAAATACTCAGCATTAACTACCCTGGAGGGGGCGTGGGCTTCTTGGAACAGTACCAGACAGAAGAGCAGTGTCCCTCCTCCTCAGTCTTTGCCCCATCTGTTTTGATCTTGGAAGTGTTGGCAGTGGGTGAGTGGACAGAAAACTCCTGGTGAAGAGAAGCACATCTGCATAAGTGAAGACAGAAGGGCCACATCCCCTCCCCAGCAGGCAGCAGCCCACCCTGTGTGTGGCGGCAGCTGGTGGAGAGAAGTCTTTCTATGAAGGATCATCGGTGACATAATTCATATATTAGACTGGACTTTTAAAATTATGGAATGAAAGCCGTGTTTTCCATTTTTAGTGATTGCGAGACTTTTTTAATGCCTAAGAATGGTCAGAAAAATTCTGAGGCCTGCCTGATAGTTTTTTGAAGGGTAGGGAAAAAATACTTCCACTTAGCAAGTCTAAACAGACAGAGGGAAAAAAACTGATGATTACATGTCAAAAGTCCTGCTTTCAAAATACTGGTTGCATTAAGAAAAAGATTGGGCTGTAGCTGGGAGGACAAAATTCCACCATCTGGGAGTTTGTGACCTCATAGTGGCTGAGAGATCCCCATGGCCTGGAGCCCCTTTGTTTGGAGGGATGGAATCATGGCTGCTGCACAGATTGTTCCAAGGAAATGGTGCCCAGGGTCCAGGTGGGAATCAGCAACTGACCACTCGAGACCTGCAGGCACTGCGGGCCCTGTCCCCACACCAGCCATGATCACCATGCTGGAGACTCTGCTGTGTCTGTCCATCCTCCTCCTCTGCTTCTTACTGATCCTCTGTTACTGCATCTTTCAGGAGGAATAGGCCCAGGCCTCCTGCGGGCTGGGACTGAGGCTTGATGGAAACCTTGGCCAGTCCTGCCCTCTGCACGTCTCACATAGAATGGGCTGTTCTCGAGCTGCCCTTGGGCTGGGTCTTGTCCTGTTTCGTGGCCTCTGGCCCTCGCTGGATGCTCTGGCAGACTGAGCCGAGATGGGGTCTCCCCATCAGCTACCACCTAGGTCTCAGCACCGCCTTCTCCCTGGGTCCCCCAGCTGGACCCTCCGGCCCCCACAGCCTCTCTGTCGCTGGTTTTGCTTGTGGTGCATTGTCGTCCTGGGCTGAAGGCTGCTGGCTCTGGAGAGGGGTCAGTGTGGGGCTCAGCGAAGGTGTAATTAATTGGCTTAGTCCTCTGGGCCCTGGGGAGCGGGAGTCCTGGCTGAAGACCGATAACCTCAGCCGGGAACATTAGACTTTCCTTCTGTCCACGATGAACAATCCAAGAAAACGATCTTCTCAGCTCATGAATCAGGATGGACTTAGCCAGTTCATGTTTCCCTGGACAACTTTGGACTTGCCTTGCTAAATAACAGATGTTTCTGGCTAATTACTTTAACCGCCCTGGCTTGAGAATTGTAACTTTTTTGCCTGAAAACGTGGGCATTCAAGATAATGATATTCGAGTTTGGTTGATTGTCGTTCACCATTCTAGCTGGCCACATCGGTTCTTCACTCATAAGACCTTGGGCTTTCGTGGCCAAGTGCAGCAGACATCCCTGACTAATTTTCTGGGCTTTCCAGGATACAAATAGACGAAAATCTCTATGATTTCACCATTATGTATGATATTGGCTGATGGTTTAAGATACATATTCTGGGCCGGGCGCGGTGGCTCACGCCTGTAATCCTAGCACTCTGGGAGGCCGAGGCAGATGGATTGCTTGGGGTAAGGAGTTCAAAACCAGCCTGAGCGAGACACTGTCTCTACTAAAAATAGAAAGAAATTAATTGACCAACTAAAAATATATATACAAAAAATTAGCTGGGCATGATGGCACATGCCTGTAGTCCCAGCTACTTGGGAGGCTGAGGCAGAAGGATTGCTTTTGAGCCCAGGAGTTTGAGGTTGCTGTGAGCTAGGCTGACGCCACGGCACTCACTCTAGCCTGGGCAACAAAGTGAGACTCTGTCTCAAAAAAAAAAAAAAAGATACATATTCTATTCCTAGTTTTCCGAGAATCTTTAAAAATTTTAAATGGATGTTAAATTTTATCAAATGTTTACTGGGGATATGATGAGCTATTTAAATAAACTATTAATAGAATGATGGTTGCCAAGGCTGGGAGCAGGAAGAAATGGGGAGTTGTTTAATGGATATGGAGTTTCAGTTTTGCAAGATGGAAAGAGTTCTGGAAATTGGTTGCACAACAATGTGAATGTCCTTAACACTATTGAACTGTACAGTGGAAAATGGCTAAGATAGTAAGTTTTATGTTGTGTGCATTTTATCACAATTAAATATTTAAAAAGTAGTTAAAATAATAAAATGAAACACAGTACTGTAAGTGCCCGGCATAGTTGTTGGTTTATAGTAAGCTAGTTTAATAAATTACATTTAATACTTTCTGTATCGATGAATTTGACTACTCTAGGCACCTCATATACATGAAATCATACAGTATTTGGTTTTTTGTGACTGACTCATTTACTTAGCATAATTTCTCAAAGTTCATCTATATTATAGTATGTGTCAGAATTTCTTTCCTTTTTACAGCTCAATAATATTCTATTGTATTTAGATATGTATTGTACTGTATACACACACTTTTTTTTTTTTTTTTTGAGACAGTCTCACTTTGTTGACCAGGCTGGAGTGAGTGCCGTGGTATCAGCCTAGCTCACAACAACCTCAAACTCCTGGGCTCAAGCGATCCTGCTGTCTCAGCCTCCCAAATAGCTGGGACTACAGGCATGCGCCACCATGCCTGGCTAATTTTTTTTTTTATATATATATTAGTTGGCCAATTAATTTCTTTCTATTTATAGTAGAGATGGGGTCTCGCTCTTGCTCAGGCTGATTTTGAACTCCTGACCTCGAGCAATCCACCTGCCTCGGCCTCCCAGAGAGCTAGGATTACAGGCATGAGCCACTGCGCCTGGCCTACACACACATTTTGTTCATCCATTCACCTATCAATGGACATGAGTTGCTTCCACCTTTTGGCTATTGTCAATAATGTTGCTGTGAACACAGGTGCACAAATATCTCTTTGTGATTCTACT